TCCATCACCTTTCCAGGGATGGAGGGGAGGCTGAGAGGCCTGGAGTTTCCTGGCTCCTCCTTCTTGCCCTTTTGGAAGACTGGCGTGACATTGGCTTTCTTCCAGGCCTCAGGCACCTCTCCTGATCTCCAGGACCTTGCCAAGAGGATGGAGAGTGGCCTAGCGATAACATCCGCCAGCTCCCTCAGCACTCGTGGATGCATCCCGTCAGGGCCCATGGATTTGTGGATGTCAAGTTTGAACAAAAGATCTCTAACCTGATCCTCCTCGACCAAGGGAGAGTCTTCCTTTCTCCAGCCTTCCTCTCTCGTCCCCAGGGTCTGGAATTCCTGAGGACTGGCCTCAGCAGTGAAGACTGAAGCAAAGGCAGTGTTCAGTAACTTTGCCTCCTCTGTATCCTTCGTTACCAGGGCACCCGCCCCATTCAGCAGCGGGCCGACGTTTTCCCTAGTCTTCCTTTTGCTATTGATGTATTTGAAGAAGCCATAATATGTGACACGATGAACATGCTGACTTGCCTTCACTCCTTATTTCCAGCCTTCCCTACCTCAGACATGCCACTTCCTATGCCACTGCTACCATGCCCCTGACTGCTGCCTACATCGAGTTCTGCCCTGGCTGGCTCAGATCCCTGCCTGTCCTAACAAGCCGTATTGCTCTGGTCCTGTTTCTTTCCTAACACTGAAGTGCCCATGAAACTACTGCAGTATCTCATGAGTCCTTCTGGCTACGGTTGTTAACAGAAATGTCTTGACAGAAATCTTGATCCTTCTCTTATCCTCTCTTTCTTGCAGACTGACTCAGAGTACCACAAGATTGCTGCGAACATCTGTGGAACAAATACATCTATTTTGTGAGGGCAAACAGCATTACTATTTCAGTGGCCTCATTGAGGTGCTGTATAGATTGGAGAGTAAAAATCTGAGCATAACTTAATTAAATGATTTTACAGATGGTGATGACAGGAGTTAGCCAACTGGAAAATGGGGACTAGCACAGAGGGCTTGGTTGGAGTGAGATGTCCAGGCAGAGAAGGAGGTACATTCTGAGTGTTAATGAGAGATGTCTGAGATGGCAGCGGGTCTTTCAGCATCTGAATGTATCTGCCTACCAGATGTAGATCCAAAATGTCTGACAGGAGAGTCTAGGGCAAGAGGTATCAATGACAAACACCTGGATACCTGACGCATTTGCAGCTGTCTAAGTTAAGGCAGATAAATCCCTGCTAGGCTGATAGAGTGTCTGTTGAGAACCATCAAAAATTAGCCAGCAAATACCCCAAATCATTAGCTGCTACTTCATTCCCTATCACATGTGTCCGATGGGTACTGATGGACAATTGATCCTTCCAGCCCATGATTCATATCTAGTCACTGGCCCAGCTGGTAATCTACCAAACCATGAGAACTGACTGATTAACAGTAATCTTCAAAGACATGAACAAAGAATAACTACATAGCTCTGACAAACAGGCAGAACTTGATGCTTCATGTCTAATGCTGATAGGATGACTAAATAAAAGAACCAGTGACATGAACCTGGTTAATTAAAAAATAACTATCAAACAGAGACTAACAATAAGTAAGTAAAAAGTGGCAAGTGCTTAACAGTTTACTGACAAATGGTATTAGAGAAAGAAAACCTACCGAGATGAAGAACTCATAACTTCTGGAATGCAGTTAATAAACAGACTGCTGGCAAAACAGGAGGTTATTAACTAGGAATTTAATTATTATCAAGCACTAACAGATGGCAATTAGTGACTCTTAGTTAAACAAGAATGAAAATGATCTGATGCCAATGCTGATTACAGAACGGTGACCTTCTACTGGAACAGGGCAGGCAGAACACAGAGGATGTATTTTCCATCCTCAGAGTTTTGGGTTTGCAGCCAGGTCTGTGCGCTCCCATCAGAACACCTCAGAATGGTCAGTAGTAATGCTCTTTGGGCCCCATTTGGCTTTATGTTTGTCTTGACCCTTTCTTAGCACTTCCCCACATGCAGCTGCAGCACACCCTGGAAGTGCATATTTACATAGCAAGCAAACTCTTGGGGCATGAGGTGCATCCTGGGATTGGGAAGCTGGTTGTCGTAGTAATGATGGGGAAGGGGATGACCATCAGGATGCAAAGAAAAGGGCCAGAAGCCATAGAGTGTAATATGTTGGCATAACTCCAGGGCAGCATTCACTAGCATGAAACCTGAGGAGAGGCGAGTGGGATGGAAACCATGTTCGTGCCAGTACCTTGTCAGAGCACTTAGATACTGAGGGTGGAAGAAGAAGATAGGTGAGCGGGAGCCAGAGTCCTGCAAGGCATAGAGTGCTCGGTAAGAAGCTTCATTCTGGCCAGGATAGGAGAAAGCTGGAATGAGAAACCAAGTCTCTCCATAAATAGCTGCTGCCTTCACAAATGGCAGGCGCCGACCATTCAGACCATGAAACCTGTGGAGCAAGAAACATGGGACCATCACCCTTTGCCAGCTGCATCTCCTTCCTTCCTGTTCTTCTCAAGCCAGTCTGCTCTGGAACAGCCCATCGTCAGTTCTAGTCTTCACCTCTGTTTTCCCCTTCTCTGCGCCTCAGTATTGATCTGAGTTTGAGCTCCTCACATAGAGCTCCCACAGACCAGAGAAGGTGCCCGAAAATACCCAGGAGTTTTGGTAGTCTGTTAAAAGGCTGGGAAGATGTTTTCAAAATTAAAGCCTTAGTGGCACAACAGCTCTCAGTTCATTGGGACTAATGTCCTATAATGGTGAAGCAGAGGACCAGGAGAATGCCTGAGAGAGAATTCATGCCATCTGGCTTTAAGGATCTACTACACAGACATCTACATCTGAGCTAATTGTCTAAATGTCGTCTGTAATCAGTGAGTAGAAACATGCACCGCTGGAGCACAATCCATCTGCCTTGTTTTAGATGTCTGCTTTAGGACAAGGAGTACCTATTTTCTCCACTGAACTTAAAGAGCATTTATGCAGCTAGGACCAAGGTGAGAAAAACAGTTCCCATCAGTGCTCATCCTGGCAGTGCAGAATATTGCTGAACTCTCTGCCTGTCTTGATGTCAGCCATGTGAACATCGATTCTGTAGAAGGAGCGGAAATGGTATTAATCTCTAGTGGTGAGATCAAACAATCAGCAGTAATCATATCTTGAACAAACTCTGCCCCAAACAGCTCCAAGACTTGCATTATTCCCCTCTACATATCTGCACAGAGGGGAGGATCTCATGGCAGTAGATGTCAGTAACTTTTTGAACAGGCTTTGTACAGTGGCAAAGGCCTATGTGTTTTCTGGGGACTCAGAGCACAGGCAAAAGACAATGTCTTTTCAGAAACACAGTATGAGCAGTTCAGAGAGGAGAAAGTTAGGACACCCCTCCTCCATTTTTGTTTCCGCCTCTATTACCGTTTCTGAAGGATACTGGGATTCACAGTGACTATGCTTGACTTTCTGCCCACGTCCTCAGGAAAGTCCATGGAAGGCAAGTTAAACCTGATGGGGGATCATGAGCAGAGGAAGTCTATGAAGAGAGATAATAATGCTGCATAACATCCCTAGAGGTTACCTGTCCCCAAGTGATGCTACCCAGTCCAGGTGTGCCCCACCATTCCCCCTGTTTCTCACCCTCAGTCCCTTTCAGAACCTTTCCCATGTCTCTGCTTTCTCTGCCTTCACCCTATTCCCACAAAAGCCCCCTCTTCCTCCTGCTGCCCCACCCCTTCCTGGGCAGACTGGCAGCAATTACCTGATTACAAACTGGTGCTCATCAATTTCAGAGCCACAGCTACTGTTACGGAGGATTCCTCCATTTCCCACCACAGCACAGGTTTTGTAGAAAGGCTCCTGAAAGGGGGATTCCTATAAAGAACAGCATGTAAAAACTGACTCACTCTTAGAGACTTGCAATAAAGACCCACCACAGGTCCTGCACCTGGTCAAATTCCAGCGTGTACAAAAGAAAAGCAGAGAGAGAGACTGCATTCCCTGTAGCAGAGCACTCCTACCTCCGGCAGGATCTCCAGCAAGCCACTGCTGACTTTCAAGCTCTTTGAGCGGTACCCATCATAGACAATATTGGACCCCAACGGTGTGTTGACTTGCGTCAAAGCTAGCCATGCTGAGGCATTGCAGCAGTGCCCCAGCTCTGCCCTGCAAGGGGAAGAGAGTAGAAGACAGTGAGCAGAAGTCTGGAGATGGGATGAAAGAGACTAATAGAATTAGGGATAAAGAATGAAGTGATAGATAAGAATGAGGAGAGAGGGCTAGACAAGGTAACAAAAGGAAACAAAAGTAAAAAAAAGGGATTAGATGGGCAAGACATCACAGTGGAAAGGTGAGGAAAGTTTGGGGAAGCACAGGGAATACAAAGAAAGCACTGTGTCAAGTTAGAACAACCCTCAACATGTACCTCTCAATCCATACATCTCTACACGTCCTTCATTTTCTTCTTACTCAATGCACACACCTTTCCAGCCGCTTTCTGTTTGTTCTCCACTCTTCAGCCTGGCCACTACTCCAAAGCCCTTCCTGCTTGCTTCAGCCTCAATTTCATTTCCTCCACTCACGCACATTTTAACCCCTCCCCAATAAGCTCACAAATCTGCAAGATTAAAAGGCAGCATAAGGGATGCAGCAGGGCAGCAGGAGCAGGTGCTGTGCCAGGATGGTGGGTGTGGAGGTACCTGCATGGCCCATCCTTACCAAATCAAATGGAGAACAACCCATGTTTAGATAAGAGTGTGACTATAAATGGTGTGTGTGCATATGCGCATGTGTGTGCGTGTATCAGTCCAATACACAAAACCCAGAAGGTGTTTGCCCAAAACGGATCCTGTTAAAGAAGAAGATGACCGTTGGCTGGATGAAACAGTAACTCAGAGAGCTTCAAAGAGACTCTTGAAACAAAGAAGTCAGCCTGAAAAGAAGTATAAAAGGAGCATGACATTTTTTAGCAAGGGAAGAGAAGCCATGGAATAGAAAGAGCAGCAGTCAAAACCAGGTCTGACGTTGCCAGAATTTGCCACTCTGGCATCACGACCTCTGCCTATGCCAGAGAGAGCAGCCTTCCTGCTATATGCTGTACAGATTCTGCATCCAGCTAGTGTCCTGTCATTGGGGAGCGCAACAAGTAGGGACCCACACCTGGCGTGTGCTTATGTGAACAAATAGGGTGCTTTTTCATCAGCTTGTGGTTCAGCGGGTTATAGGGAGCAACATGGGTTCCCATAAATCTAGAACACTTACAGTCCTGTGAGGGGAATGTGTGCATGTAACTGTGTGTGTGTGTGGCTGCGTGCAATTAACAATTCTTTGGATTAGTTAGAGAAGAGTGTTTAGAAATTTGTAGGTGTATATTAACATTTTGCAAGCATCTAGTGTTGTGGTTTATCTGTCTTGTTACTGCTATTGATCCTGAATGTACACTTTACCAATTGCAGTTTAATCCATGCCATTGATAAATTAATAAACTGCTTCAATCCTGATTTGATTTAAACTAGGTGAACTGAGTAGTTTTTCCCTATGGCTGGTGGGCACTACCTGTATTGGGCCAATGCACTAGCATTGAAATTCCAGCGGCAGCTCTGCATTAACTTCAGGTGGCTCAGGCTCCAGACCTCATCCACCCTAGGGAAGAAAGAACTCATGAGCAACTAGAACCCTTTCATGAAAACCCACTGCTAATAAGCTACTCTCTATTGCATCCCCTTCCCATCCCCTGGACCTTCATTCAGGCTCACAGTGGGTCTAGTTTAGCCTGTTGCCTCTGCCACTGCCCAACACACTTGTGGCCATGACCCTCACCTCTTCAGGAAAGATTCTGTTAGGCTGCTCGACAGTACTTGACATGCTTCTGGTTCTGGGACCCTGATGTCAGGTCTGTGACAGAAAACAAGGAGTTAAACTCAACCAGAATACTGTGTCCCCCTGCAGCTCTCCTCTACCACTCTACTCCAACGATCCTGTCCCTTCAGTCTCTCTTCTTAGCCATCCTGTGGCTGCTCACAACCTGAGAAACCCACCCAAAACTAGCACCATTACATCCTTTCCTTACACCATCTCCAGCCGTTCCATATCAATTTCTCCCCTAGAGACCTCCTGGAGCTGTGCTCAGTAGTCCCACTTCCTTCCAAAGACTGAAGGGACACAGTTCCTCCACGCTGTCCCTCACTTGCCTGCCATCACTCCACACCAGGAAGAACATGGAGACAACTGAGACTGCAGCCATAGTCAGCAACCCAGTCCATAGCTTGCGCACCTTCAGCAGCCCTGGATTCACATACTCCTCTGTGCTGATGTTGTTTGGCATTTTGGAGAACCCTTGAGAGAGCAGAGTGAATGAGAAAAGTCCACACCTGAGCTGATCAGTGTAATCACCCAAACTGTGGCATTTCTGGCACTGCTGTGCTGCTTCCATGCCTGTCCTCATTGAAAGTTTGATTAGTTTTCTGCAAAGCAATATCAAATACAACAGACAGTAGGAAACTTGTTTTCCCTGGGCTAGCTGAAATATAGCTTGGGGTTATCAATGGATCCCACCAGACCCTTTTGGAAGGCATCATGGGCCAATAGTAATCTGTAGTAATCCCTCTCCTCTAAAGCTGGCAGCTGTTCCAGAGCAATGGCCCCATTGATATCCTTGCACAACCTTGGTTCCACTCCCCTGACACCTTCTCCATCTCATCTTTCTAGCAGTGATCCAAAAAAGCCTCCACACAAGTGCCACAGCATTTGTGCAGGAAAGAAAAGGCAGGCAGGTTTTTTTCTCTTAATCAGTCCCAGCGATTCTTAGCTCATCAGTGCAAAACTGCAGCATCTTCTGCTCACCTGGACAATGAATCTTTGTCCTGGGGCACGCTAGTTTTTATCTCCTTCCAGGCAGCCACCCCCATCACATTAATTCTACACTGAAGTAGACTAGCTGGTATTTTGGGATGGGCATGTTTCTTCAGGGGCGCTCCTTTATTTCCAGGTAGTGGAAAGGTCAAGGAATTTTGCAGATTTGGCAAAGCACACTGCTGCTTTGCCCATAATATTCTCCACCTTCCTGGCTTTGGTTGAGGATTAACTATTATTGGTCTTTCTGATTGGTGGCATGATCTCAAGGTATGGCAGAGACGGGCAGGTGGAAAGCAGAGTTTTTAATCACATCTGTCATTTTGCCTTAAAGTTTTGCCTTTAAGTTTCCCTTTTTTTTGTATCTGTTTACAAGATCCTGCCTTAGACTAATCCAAATCTTTCCAATGGAAATCTTGAAGGTTTGGGCAAAGATGGACGTTTTTAGATATAATAGGGCGGTGGTGTGATCAGCAGCAGCACGTTCACAAGGAAAACAAAAGACTTTTTACTGATGACACTTAATTATGACTTTTATAACCAAAGCTTGAACCTGAATAATCTAGACCCCAGGCAAAAGGAGGTGATCAGAACGGGCTTTTCCACTGCGTGTCAATCAACACATGTACTTTCTCCTACCTGTATTTTTTCAAGTTAGTTTTGTTTTTCTTACAAAATAATGGTGGCTAAAGGTAGCTCTTTCCCAAGAGGAATAACCTTCTCTTAAAGGGCATTGATTTTGGGTGAATGTTTTTGCAGCTCTCTGAGATGATAGTCCCTGAAACCATATCAAGCGGTGCTCTAAGGTTTAATGCTTACTCTACAATAAGTTTAGAAAATGAGAATCAGTAGTTCTGTTTCCCTCTCAAAAACCACAATAAAGGTAAAATAACTATTTTGATAAAATAAAGAAAAAGAAATCGAAGCCCAAGAAAGTTAAAACTCACATACCTGTTAGACCAAAAAGGCTATGGGATACCTCTGTTTGATCTTGAAGCTGGCTTCTAATACGCTCAAACCTGAGTACAGCTTTTGCCCAGCTCAGGCACACAAGCAATCTGGAACTGCCCTCTCGAGGGGAGGGGATGATATCCTTCTGTTGGAATGACTCATGTGTTTCTTCAGAACCAAAGCAAAGCGCATGAACTGTGTAAAGCCCTTGTGACTGTCCGTGCTCATTGCAATTATGTCCACTTCACTGGTGTTTCTTGCTCTTGTTTCCGTGTGTTTTGCATCCTGTGTTAAGTTTTGACAAATTCTTTACTTCTGTGTGGTAGGTTTATTTGAATAATGTGTCTGTGGAAGCCATGCAAGCACTCTTCCATAAAAGAAGCCAACATAAGGCATTACTTCCAGTCTACTCCCATGCTGTTCTTGGTCACAACAGTTAGTGCATGGCTGAAGGGTCCCACTGAAACCCTGAGGTGTGTGGGGTAGGTTGGGAGGTGGGAGGGGGGGAAGGATACTGGGGTCAGTAAAACCTATTTGAGTCTTCTATAGGCAGAAGAGTGAAGCCCACATTTAGCTCAGGAAACTGCATTTCCATTGAGATAAGCAAAAGACCCAGAAGATGTACCCTCAGAAATGAAGTGACCATAAAGCCACCACATTATTACATGAAAACTGAGTGACCAACTCCCCATACTGATGGATCCGCATGAACAGTTTTTGGGGGCAGGTAAAAGGAAATGCATCAAACAAGTATAAAAATGCTTTGCTTTACTAGTGATCATTTTCTTTCAAATCCATATACTGCTTCTAATCTAGCTCTTTGTCTAGTCTCTATATATACTGCTCTCTACACATATATATATACTGCTGAATTACTAAATTATCTGTCTTATGCTGTAGCTAAGGTGAATTATGGGGAGTGACTGATCTGAGGTACACAGATTCCATTAGCACTGAGGAGGCTGCAGAGAGAGTCTGGAGATGTCTGCATCCCATGGCTTTGTCTAGGAAGCCTGTAGGTGGGAAGGACCTATAGGTGTCAAAACAGACCTTGTTTTCCATGTGCTTACTGCTTTGTTATTTATTATAGATCCTACCGTCTCATCAGGGCCATGATCTCATTGCAGTTACAGAGACATGGTGGGATAGCTCACATGACTGGGATGCTGTCATGGATGGCTACGTGCTTTTTAGGAAAGACAGGCCAGGAAAGCGAGGTGGTGGAGTTGCCCTTTATGCGAGGGAGCAACTAGAATGTGCGGAGCTCTGCCTCGGGGTGGATGAAGAACAAGTTGAGAGCCTATGGGTAAGGATGAAAGGGCAGGCTAACATGGGTGACACTGTCGTGGGGGTCTACTACAGGCCACCTGACCAGGAGGAAGTCATCGATGAGGCCTTCTACAGACAGCTGGAAGTAGCTTCACGATCACAGGCCCTGGTTCTCATGGGAGACTTCAACCACCCTGACATCTGTTGGGAAGACAGCACAGCTAGGCACAAACAGTCAAAGAGGTTCCTGCAAAGCATTGATGATAATTTCTTGAC